AAAATTCTACCGCAGCTTCACTTTCTGATAAACGGTTTTACTTCTTTGGAGCTTTGAATGAAATATTTCGACACCTATCTCATCAAATTGAGATGGAATTTTTTTTTATTTGAATTCTACAAATTCGTAGAATACAAATAAAAAAAAAATTCCATCCAATTAGGTGAGACGGATATCAAGATATTTTCGTTCAAAGTCTTTAAACTTCTACCGCAGCTTTACTATTTGATAAATGTTTTATTTCTTTGGAACTTTGAAAATATCTCAACAGTATTTCACCAAATTAGATGAAAATTTTTTTATTTGAGTTTTATGAATCCATAGAATTCAAATAAAAAAAAAACTTTCATTCAATTTAGTTAGGTGGATGTTGAGATATTTTCATTAAAAGTTTTTATCATTCTGCCGCAGTTTATAGTTTTTTTGATAAACGATCGTTTTTTGAAACTTTGAATGAACATATCTCAACACCCACTTTACCAAATTGGATAAATTTTTTATTTGAATTCTACGGATCCATAGAATTCAATTTAAAAAAAGTTCATTCAAATTACTAGTTATGGGTGTTGAAACTTTTATTAAAAGTTTTTAACATTCCACCGCACTTGTACTTTTTTGATAGACGATCGTTTTTGAAAACTTTGAATGAAAATATCTTGACACCCACTCACCCAAATCCTTTTATTTGAATTCCGCAGGTCCATAGAATTCAAATAAAAAAAATTTCATTCAATTTGGGGTAGGTGGGAGTTGAGATATTTTCGTTCAAATTTTAATACTCTGCTACAACTTGTATTTTTTAGTAGACGATCGTTTTTTGAAAATTTTGAACGAAACTATCTCGATACTCACCTAACCAAATTGAATGAAACCTCTTTTATTTGAATTCTACAGGCCCATAAAATTTAAATAAAAAAAACTCTTTTAATTTGGTTGGGTGTGTATTGAGATATTTTCGGCAAAAGTTTTTAGCAACTTGTATTTTTTGATAGACAATCGTTTTCTTTGAAAACTTTGAGCGAAAATATTTCGATACCCATCTACCCAAATTGAATGAAATCTTTTTTCATTCAATTTGGCTGAGTGGGTGTCGAGATATTTCGTTAAAAGCTTTTTAACATTCTTTCTATAGCTTATACTTTTTTAACAATCTTTTTTTGAAAGATTGAATGAAAATATCTCGACACTCACTCAACCAAATTGAATGAACTCTTTTTTATTCGAATTCTGTAGAAACGTAGAATCCAAATAAAGAAAATTCATTCAATTTGGTTGGGTGGATTTGAGATATTTTCGTTATAAATTTTTAACATTTTGCCGTGACTTGTATTTTTTGATAAACGATCATCATTTTTTGAAAACTTTGAACGAAAATATCTCGACATCTGCCTAACAAAATTGAATATAAGTTTTTTTTTATTTGGATTCTACGGATATGTAGAACTCATATTAAAAGATTTCATTCAGTTTGGTTAGGTGGATGCCGAGATATTTTTGTTTAAAGTTTTAAAATCTATGTTATACTGTGGTTGATCACTTAAACTACTGGCGATGCGATGAATGATAACTCTGTTTTTAAAATATAAAATTTTTTTAATAGAAAAAAATAATAAAATATACAAGTATTATACATACTTGTAATAAAAATATAATAAGTTTTTTTAAAAGTTATACAAAGCTAATTTATATATATTTATAATAAATTTAATAAATTTAATAAAACTTAGTATAATACAAACTTTTATAAATATAAAAAACCATTACTTTATATTCTAAAAAATAAAATTTAGATATTAATCAAATATTACAAAGCTAAAAAATTATTATAGTACAATTCGTCTAAAGATACCCAAAATAGTTTTTTTAATAAATATTCAAGTAGCCTTGAATACAGTAATATAATTTTTTTTTTTGCGAAATTAACTTATTTGTTAAGAGATACAATTTAAAAAAAAACGAAAATTTTCGAAACTAATATCGGCAAGGTATTGTTTGTTACTACAGTACTAGATGAAATTTCACCATATTTATTAGAGTCTGTTATACGTAGCAAGACATAATAACATTTTTTTGTCTTAGATACTTCTGTGCCTTATAATTTAAAATCATAGACAACAAATTTATCAAGGGTTAGCAAATAAACCCAAATTATGCCCTGAAAAATAAAATTGCATTGATCTATTCATTGATACATAAACTTGTTTATTAATGGAACGTGCGTTCTTTTTTTTTAAAAAAAAAATTAATGCACCAGAACACCTTGCACGATGTTGCACCTAATTAATGGTTTTTTTTTTTTACTAAACCAATACCAGTACAAACTCTTAAAATATAAAATTTGCAAACTTTTTATATCAAAGTGATTTATTATAAAATTACCTGAATTTTTCAAGTTTATTAGTACTTTTTTATATGTAATTAAAAAGAATGCAGTTTAAAATAATTTTTTTTTTTTTTGTATCGATAAAACTATACATGATACGTAAATGACACTGTATAATTTTTTGCTAATACGAAGATATTTGCAAAATGGACCTAATTTTGGGTAAATATCATATAAAAATATTGATAAAAAAAAAGGAGACAAATTTAAACAAATAAAATTAATGCCTACTAAAAGACGAGTTAGAGCAGATGGCACAGCAAAAAAATTAGATTATCTCAACGATAAATTATACTTACACATGAAGAGTGTAAAAGACATGAACACGTCCTTCTTTGGGACTAGCGATCTCTTGAAAAGCGGCAGGTGATAAATCAATATCACCAAGTTGGCAACCAGCACATCTATCTATAATCCTTACGGTAACCCGCCTACCACCACGTTCAACTACAGCAGTAGAGCCACAGGCTCTCTTTCTAGTTAAATGATCAAATTGTTGTGCAGGTAAAGCAGCTACCATTTGTTCGTTGTTATTGACATGCCCGCAGGCACCCAGGCCTACAGCGTAAAATGTACCATCACCCGAATAAGTACCTCGTTTGACGATAAAGGGATTAATTAGGTTTGAGTCGCTTTCAGAGATTGAAAATGAAAAGGTTGTAAGAAGTAGCAAATGTAAATATAAATGTTTAATAATTGAACGCATTTTAAAATTTTTTTTTTTTCAAGTAATGTAAATTTCTCCAAGCATATTTTTGAAACGAAAAAAAGCGAGTCTTTTTAAAGGTTTAGAAAAAGCTTACAATTTTTATATTGAAACAAATTATGCATCAGAAGGATTATTTACAGAATGTCCTAAATTTCGGAGAACATAAAAAGGTTGATTATTCTTGGACATAGCCGAGACACTCCTTCAGGAATGTACTGTACCATTCATTAGTTAGACTTTCGAGTATACTGAGACAATTTTCAACCTGAAACACATAGTAAATAAAGTAGGGAGATAAAATAATGAACCATAGCAAATTGTTTCTTTAAGAGGATGTTCAGGAGACTTCTCCTCACATCAGATATAAGGGAAACAAGATTGAATGGACACAAATTCATGAATTAGTCGAACAATAATGTATTTGTTATTATTAACTAAAAAAATGATGATATCTTTATTCTTTATTATTTAAGCCTTTTAATTTTCGTGGATTCATCCTTATCACGTGAATAGTTCATTAAAAGTTGAATTTTTTGTTTAAATTCAGTCTTGAACTTCGAACTCGACTCTTTTTATTTACATCTTGATTTAAAAACTGCTTTATTTATTTGTTCGGGTAATTTAAACCAAAAAGTAACTTCATACTCAGACCTCGAATTTACAACCTTTTAAAAATGAAACTTAGTACTATATAAAGATACAATTTTACGTCAAGACACTGAAGTGTACCCAGAGGTCAGTTTAAATAATAATAATTTTCCGTTTTTTCTTCTTTCACGCGTGTTATCCACAATCTGGTTATATTTTCTTTTTTAGGATTTATGTTACTAAACTTGGAAAACATACTGAAGACAAAAGTCTCGTGTTTGACAGCGGGATCAGCATGTATGGGTGATCAGAATTATATGCACAATATGTGCGTGCGTGTGTACTTCAGTACTTAGCTGCTAGTAATTTACACTATATCATATTTTGATCTACACTGAAAAATTCAATTTAATCATAATTGTCTAACTGATGATTTTTAAAACTTGAGTGAATGATGGAATATGGCTAATTTGTGTGACCGCTCCCAAATCCAAAGAAAATCGCTATTTGGCTCGCATGTTAAGTATCATTCTTAATTTGGAATTCATAGTGACTTTTACATCATTTTTAAATAAACTCCTTATATTTTTAATTTCAAGTAATCTTATATTATACCCAATCAAATGTCTTACTTTAAACAACGTTGATTATTATACAAATTTTATTTGTCAGCCTGATTTTTTGAGATAAAAAACTTTAGATAACCGATATTTTGCAAAGATAGTATGCATTAATTTTGACAAGTTAATTAAAGTTAAATGCCGTCACCGTCAATAATTACAATCTGATTTGATAATGCATGAATACTTCATACAGAGATTCTCCATATTATATTATTACGTACAAGGTTAATCCGACAGGTTTTTTTCCGGACAGAATTGCGTTATGATAGAATCATCATAAGAATATTCTTCACTTTCATAATTTGGGATTTATTAATTACAGCGTATAATATTAGTAATTCTTAGGCGTAAAATTTTTTTTTGCCAATCTCATGACCAAAAATTTTGAGGGGTACCTGCTACGTTACGTTACGTTACGTTACGTACGTACGTACGTACGAGCTTTCATCTCACATTTCCTTTTTTAATTGATTCAATAGTTTCATAAGTTCGCGAGGCTTATCAAGCATTCTTTACTTCTCCATTAGGAAAAAAAATGAGATAGAGATAGGGAGTAAATAAAAAAACAAATGTATACCTTTGTGCATATTATTACATAAATATATATATATCCGAAATATTTATAAATTTTATTTGGTTGCTCGAAAATAAAGTTTAAAAATCAACACAGTTAAACAATTAAATCTAAAAATTTAATATGGACAATTCTTTCGTCGCTATTTGGAATTTGATCCTCGTCCTCTTCATTTTTCAAGGATGTCACGCTTCAAGAGTGTTTCATTTACAACATGTTTTTTATGAAAATGTGATTTATCGTCAAAGATTATTCGGAAAATTCCTTCACATAACGGGTTGACAATTTTTGTCTTTGTATTTCTTTTTAATATATAGATTTTTTTTTTTATCATCTAAAACTTTTATTTATGCGAACAGATCTTCACGTTGATCCATATTATCTTGAATCAAGCGACCCAACATCGTTTTGTCATCGTTATTCACCGAATTCAATACTAAACATTGCCGGAAAGTTCGGTATATTATCGGCACCATGTGATTCACCTTACCCTTTGACGAATTCTACTTTTGAATTTATGCGGTCGAACTTTAAAGATATAGACTTTATCGTATATACTGGTGATTCCGTTAGGCATGATAAAGATAAATCATTTAAGCGAACCGAAGAACAGGTCTTGGATGGCCATAAAAGAGTTGTGCAATTTCTTCTAAAGTATATCGATCTATCAAGAATTAAATTTGTATGTTTTTTTTTTTTAAAAAAAAAGAAAGCTTTACTTTATTATATCTCTATTGGTTAACGCTCTTCCCTCTTTTTGTAAGATGCCATCGCTCGGAAATAATGACGAATTCGGTACGATTAACGTCCGTTTTCTGTTTCACGTGTTAAAGCCTTGCTGCGGTTCATTATTAAAATCTTGTCTTTTATATAGAACACAATCGATTAGTTGAAGGACCAAATGATTTGTTTAGCAATTTAACTCAAATATGGGCACCTTTGAAACTGAATTTAACTTCGGACTTTCTTAATGGAGGATACTATCGTCAAGATATTCATCGCAAATTCTCTGTACTTAATCTCAATTCCATGTATTTTTACAAAAAGAATAAATTACTACGTGATTGTGATATAATGGATAGCGCCGGTGCATTACAACTTAAATGGTTAGAACGTGAATTAAAAAATGCGCGTGATGAAGGACGGAGGATTTATATTTCACAACATGTTCCTCCGCTGGAAGATACTAGTATGTGAAACATAATAACGTCATAGGTTTAAATTCAATACGCGTGATTAATATAATATTTTCTTTTGTGAAAAATATAGATGAGATGTTATATTCACCAGCATGCTTTAATGCGTACGTGCAGTTAATTGGCAAATATTCGGATGTTATCTGCGGTCATTTCACAGGTATTTTTTTTTCTGTGATTAAAATTTTTCATTTATTTATTTATTTATATATTTTATTCATATTATCAAATATATATATATTAGGACACACTGATAAAGATAGTCTAGCATTCGTTACTGCCAATGAAAACGAAGATACATATTCGATAATTGCCCTGAACGAAACACACATTCTATCTAAAATTGCCACAAATAATATTGTATTGGCTTTAACAAATGCTCCATCATTAAAACCAAGTAAGTTCAATATTATGAATTAATAATTTACGGTCCCACAATTCCGACTTACGTACGTGTCAAGGAAGTGATATTATGTAATATTATTGCTAAAAAACCGGATTGACGTAAAATTTTATATTGGCGTATTTATACCGGAATTCTTCGGAGCTAGGGCTGTTATTAAGCAATACCAAGGTAGGTTAGTGCATGATCGAAAAAATGTCGAGATCACAAGATCAACGATCGCTTCCAAACATACTTTAGAATATCTGATATGCACATGATTTTACAAATCGTGATCTTGTGATCTCGACATTTTTTTTGCCAGGACTAACCCGTCTACAATACCGGCCAACTATTTGCTTACATAACTTCTTCAGTTCCAACCTGATTCAAGCCTAAATTACGATAATAAGCTCGCATCTATGTTTGGCTATAATAAAAAAAAAGATTGTCTCATTTAGAAGCCCGATATTCTTGTTTGAAATCGAGCTTTCAGGATTTTTATATGTCAAGCTTCTTGACAGTCCGAGTTGTGGGTATCGGAATTTCGTAACGAATCTATTTTAATCAATTTTTTTTTTCACCTTTTTTGTAGCTCATAATCCAGCAATAAGACAATATGCGTATTCAACAAGAAATTGGGATTTTGGTTCATTAAAAGATTACAAACAATACTTTGTAAATCTAACGGAAGCAAATGAGATTGGTGAAGCTATATGGAGACTTGAATATAAGGCTAGTAAGACTTATGGGATGAATTCTTTGGGAGCAGAAGATTGGGCCAGAGTTTTGAAAGATTTTCAAGCACCCGATAGTGATACTTGGAAGTTGTATGTTAAACATATGACAGTTAGTGGTCCTTAAAAAAAAAAAATTTTGACATGTAATTATATATATTTAGTTTATTTAACATTTATAAATTATCATCCCAAGTATCAGGTTTAATTATTTTTTAGTCTTATGTTGAACTATTTTCGAATCTATAATTAACAATATTGCTAGGCAGTATTGTTACAAATTAGCTTTAAACATAAGGTTTAAATATTTTAACCGAATTGTAATTATTTAGAATTTATTGAAAAAATCGATTTATATTTTATAGCATTAGTAGCAATAAACAAATAAAACAGCTTTCATTTATGTTTATATTTTTATATTATATAATGTCATATAATTTTAATTTCATGTAATGAGATAAGAATTCACGTTTTCTCAATGAAATCAATTTCAATAAATTTCTCCAGTGATAGATTTCGAATAATTGATTGTGGGGGTAATTTGAAAATCACGTAATTGATTGGTGGCGCAGTCACAATAACGTAATTAGCTACGAATGACGCACGTCTTGAATGTGTGCCAGGTTGGTGGCGCAGTCAGCCACACCTAACGCGTGATTTATTAATGCAATCGAAATTATTAAGTTGGATAATTAAAAAAAAGTTGCGCAAATTTAATTTCACAAGTTTAGCAAGAATATAAAAAT